GGTTTGCGTCTCACCAAGACGCAAGTGTTTCGTGTTTAATTACACGGCCTTCTCAAACGGCCCATACACTGTAAGATATTTGATAATGTAAATTCTTTTTGCAACCTTTACTTAAAGCTGTAAGATGGTGCTTCTCTTACTACTTTTGCAGACTTTTCTTTTGAGGTTAAACAGAGTGGACCTTCAGAGAGTGGAAATTGTGTGCACGGGAAGCGCCTGCTACACATCACACCTACAAAACACAACGTTTCAAGGTGCCCAAAAGTACTGCAAGGACAACAGGGGTAATTTAGTGACATTGAAGACCAATGAAGAGGCTTCGGAGATTCAGTCTGTACTTTTTTGGATTACAGAAGGACATCTGGATCATAACTTCAAAATGTGGATTGGACTAAAATTGGAAAAGGGACATTGTGTTCTTACCAATAAAGTGTTAATAGGCTTCACTTGGATATCCGGAGCGGTGGACTCGCAATATTCTAACTGGCAGCAAGAACCACAAGGCACTTGCACAGAAGAACGCTGTGTAGCTATGCATTACACTCTGCATCCCTCGCAGCCTAATAGATTGGAGTGGATAGATCGATCCTGCAGAGATGAAGCAGGGTATGTGTGCAAGTTTAATTTTAAGGGGATGTGTAAAGTTCTGCGCCTGGCAGGACCCGGAGAAGTGTTATACACAACACCATTCTTCACCAATCAAATAAGTGAGGATAATGCATTTTTATTTCAGATACCTCATGGGACTCTTGCAACTGTGTCATGTAAAGACAGCAGCCATGCTCTTGCCGTTTGTAAAGAAATGAATGGATTTTTTGGATGGACTTCTTATGGTCCATTTTGCGAGTCAGATAAACAGGGCTGTAAGTTCGAAAATGGGGGTTGTGACCATAAATGCACAGACAACGTTAACGGAGGTGTTCGATGTGAGTGTAAGGAGGGATACAGTCTCGCCGAGGACAAAGCGACTTGCATCCAAATAGATCATTGCCAGCGATCTCCTTGTGAGTTTCGGTGTGAGCAGACTTTTGAAAGTTTCCGTAGTATATGTCCAGAAGGATTCCAACTCACTGAGAACCAACGAAACTGCACTGATATTGACGAATGCTCATCCAATCCCTGCGACCACCTGTGCATAAATACACATGGTAGCTTCATCTGCATTTGCAGAGACGGGTTCGAAATGGTGGACGGGAGATGCCAGAACATAAACGAGTGCGATACCTCTCAATGTTCACAGGGGTGCATTAACACGCAAGGATCTTTCAGTTGTTATTGTATTACGGGCTTTCACCTGTCTGAAGACAAACGCAGCTGCAACGATATTGACGAATGTGTTAACAGCCCTTGTGAGGAAAGATGTGTTAATACACAGGGAAGCTATGAGTGTTTTTGTAAGGAACATTACAAAATAGCACCCGATGGCAGCACCTGCATTCTGGACCCACTTTTATCATCTGAACACATTTTTACCACAGAAAGTACTGAAAAAGCAAAGATAAGATGAAGTGCCGATTACATCCACCACAATGATCAAAGAGTACCCTCATTCTAAAGCCCCCAGGAAACCAGATGAGCAAGACACTGTACTGGCTTCTGTGATGGGGTCAGTTTCTGCAGTATTGTTTTTGATTGCTGATCCCTCGTTAATGGTGTCCTGTATCGGCAAGTGTGATAGAAAAGCAGACAAAAATGATAGCTCGGCTACAGACAAGTATCACTGGATGTCTTTGGGAAAAGATACACCAACGGAAAATCTGCAGCAACACAAAGATGATGCAGATGCAGACATTAAACAAAACACAGAGGTTGTTTGACAAAGTTCCACTTGGGCGATTTTATGATTTAAATAAGTTTTTTAAAACTTGGAAAATATCTTATTATGCGATGCATTTTTTAAAAGCCAAATGAAATGATAAATGAATAAAATACGTTTGACTTGTAAATAAGCCTGTGAGTGAGATCCAGTTAAACATTGTATTTATAATTACTTTATTAGCTAATTTTAGCTGGAATGTCGCTGGCATGAAATTTGCGAAAAGAAATGAATGGTGTTACAATTAAGATAATCAGAATACTAATTTAAAACCTCACTGTAGAGTTAAATCATCTGAAAGCTCTTAAAACCTCTGTCCGTTTACTCACTGTTAATCAAGCCCTCTTTAGTTATGTCAATATACAGTAAAGTAAATTTTAGGGACTAGTGACACTGGGGTTATAACGCTGCTATGTTCCATTACTGCCTGGAGTACTTTCTGTGTGGAGTTTGCACGCTGTCGTCTTGTCTGTGAGATTTTTCTTTGGATAATCCTGTTGACTGCCGCAGGTCAGAGCTATCCTGGTCAGATGATGTGTCAAAGTGTCCTTGTGTGACGGATTAGGGTGCATTCCCATTTTCTGCAGAGTAAGGAGCCAAATCGATTCACCAGGAAATAAGGTTTCTGAAATTTGATGGATGTTATTATTAGTTATTATTAGTTTTACTAATATAAAATTGCTCATTACAACATGAGATGCAGCTTCTAGCATAAAAACTTTGAGTAAAAAGATTACTCCAAACAATACACCTTTACGTGCAAGATAATAGGGTCTTGATCAAAAGACTTGCTTCAAGTTACAAGCGTTTTATTAGTGGTTCGATATAATAAGTACAATAGTTAATGCTATATTTTTAAAGATGCCAGTTTCACCTGACAGGATTAGTCTGATAACTAGGAAATGTAAAACAAATTTAATTCCGGTGTATAATAGGCATGCATGTTTAAAAGCATGATTTCTTCAATCTTCAATGCAGGGTAAATCTTGGCATTTATATTGTAATAGAGAATAAATCGAATTTAAAAGACTTCCTTCTTTTATTTATTCTCGGGTCCTAATAAGGTGTTTCAGAAGATCCATTCTGGTGCCTGTCTGGTTACTTTTGTCTTAATTTTTGTATTTGCATTACACAGAATACCACCATAAACAATCAGTTTACTGAGGTACAATATGTTTATGTTTTTAAAAATCCTTACTCAAGTGTAATGTTTTTCTTTTCTTAACATACTAGATTCCTAACTTTAAATCTACACAAACATATATTTATGTACTCTATATACTGTATATCTATCCACCTGTTTTCTAACTGCAGGTGATCCAGACCCTATCCTGAGAAGGCGGGATACACTCTGAATAGGACACAGGACACTGACAAAGACATGCACACACTCACACCAGTGTCAATTTTCCTAGAAACCAATTAATCTACCAGAATGTCTTTGGACAGTGGTAGGAACCCAGAACATGAAGAGGAACATTGGAAGAACTCCATACGGACATCCAGTATACATCAATAAATGTATTCATTCATTTTAAATAACTGCTTAGTCCAAGAATAAGGACAACAGGTATCCAGACCATATGAAAGATCAGTGCAAAGGGATTGATCCAAGAGCAAGGTGAGTGCTTCTGGGATCTCTTACAGCAGTTTCTGCATGGTTTTGTAACAGCTCTGCAGGATTTGGGTTGGAGCAGCCTCTTCCCATCAGACAGTGAGATCCAGGCAGGGAGTGAATTGAAAGCTTTAAAATTCTGTTGTTTCTCAAGTCCTTTAACCTCGTTTGCCAAATCTTTCATGTTTAAAGATCTTCTTTATATTGTTTCTATCACTATAAGGAGCTGTTCCTCCACTGACGTGGCACTCGGGTGCAGGATTGGCACTAGACTGTATGTATCCAGTAGTCGCTGATGGAGCAACTAATGTTGGAGTAATTTGTATGTATTATGGGGTGTATATTACACCCTGAGTGGACGTGAAAGCAGCACTCTGAAAACTGTACAACATTATTAACAACTACGAAACTGCTTAACCTGATGCTGTATCAATTGCTACTGGGGATTTTAATCCGGCAATCCTGAGAAAAGTTCTTCCAAAATATTATCAGCATGATTCCTACCTAACTAGGGGTGCGAGTACTCTTGATCACTCCTATACAACTATCAAAGACTCAATCCGCAGCTTCAAGTTCCTGGGTACCTTCCCGGGTACTAATGATTTAATGTCGTCCCAGGATGGAACTGGAATTATAAAGAAACAGCACCTTTACTTCCCCAGACATTTTGAAAATAAAACTGACCATCTTCAAATATTCTTACTACAGTTTACAAGTGCGCAATTGAGAGTGTGCTCAGGTGTGGCAGTACAGTGTGGTTTGGCAGAAGCTCGGTGTGTAACCGGAAGGAATTACAGGGGGTGGTCAGGTTGGCCCAGTCCATTACTGGAGTACAGCTCCCCTCTATAGTGGTCATTTTTACAACTCGCTGTCTCAAGAAGGAAGGGAGTATTGCTAAGGATAACAATCATCCTGGATTCTCACTTTTCACTTTCTCCTGCTCTCTGGTAGTCAGAGTCATAGTCAGAGTTCAGTTTATTTATTTTATTATAAGAGCATTAAGGCACATACCTCCAGATTCAGACAGCTTCTTCCCACAAGCTGTCATATTATTGAATTCTACCTCTACCACTGACTCAAACTAATATTTTTTTGCACACTGCTTGAACTGAGTTTTATTTAAGTTGAGTGTTATTTAGCTTTGTTGTTGTTGCTACTGTTCTTCTGTGTTCACGTTTCGTGTTTCCTTAATGTTATTGTACTGGGCACTCATGCAAATAAGCATTGAATAGTACTTGTGCATATGACAAATAAACTGAACTCTGACTATGACTCTTACTAATGACTAATGACTTAAGTCATTCTCAACAAATTATTAATTTATTTTGTTACTGCTTGGAGAACAGACCTTAGTTAAAGCATGGTAGATATGTATGTAATTGTATCTAAGATGAATGGTGTGGTGCACTTTCCTTTAAGTGTGTGAAGTTGGAATAAAAATATGAAACCTAGTTTAAAAAGATTCTTCCACTTGTTTTGAGATTTATGTTTTAACTGAGTTTTTCTTTCACAGCTGATTTTCCGTTGAGAGGACAACTACTTTACATAGGTAAGCTGATGTAGAGTTTTATTGTTATTGTATTACTGCCCATGGCATTACAAAGAAAAAATTATTTCACCTTTTATTCTTTATATCTTGTATGCAAGTTACCATGAAAGTCAGTGTTTTTAAAAAGAAGTTTAATTTTAGTTCTTATTCTTAGTGTTTAACAACATTTTATTTACCAAACTGCTTGATTTAAAAAGTTCATAAGGTGTTTATTAACTTCAATATTTAAACATGGGAAATAATTCTTACTAAATCTACCTCCTTCCTGTTTTGGGCGTGTCCTTTGTGTCCCTGATGATTTATCCTAGATTAGTTACCTGTAAAAACTATACTTTTGATAAGGTGAAAGGTAAAAAAATGAAAAATATATTTTATTGTAATTTAGCCTTTTACTAAACAGGTCATTGAATCCATACTAAAATATTTCAATGTTTAGAATATTTCAAAACAATACATTATGGTAAACTGACTCAATGAAATTAAGGGTAAAACTAAATTAAGCAGTAGAACAAAATCATAGAAAGAGTTTTGAAAATAGACTTAGATAATAAGATGTACAGGCTTGGTGCTGCACAAGAGAAGACTTGACCTTTAAGTTGATGTTGATCTTCACTAGAGCAGGAAGACCTAAGTTAGCAGATCTCAGAATAAGGGACAGATGATACTTATGCGCTGAGCTCTTCAATTTTATGTCTCAAATACTGTAACTCATTCTTCTGGCAGTCATGAGGAGACAAATCCAATCTGATCCTGCCACATCACAGTCTCACCGTTCTTCTCCCATGAGGCTCATTAAGAGTAGTAACCTCACTTCTGTCTTGACACTGTGCCTGTGATTTATTGAGTTTTGCACAGAATTTTCAAATCTCGCTGGGCCCACTGCAGACTTTTCTGCTAGGAGATGGAAATCTTTCTCCTCTCATGGTCTGTAGGGTCATTCCTTCCTTTTGTTTGTCTGTTTTATCCTCCACCTTTTCTTGATGAAGAATCTGGATTGCTGCCTTTTTTCTTCTGTTTTTAAAGGGACCCTGTCTTCAGTCTCTCTTTATCTGAATATGAATATCATCTCTATCATCTTTCTCCCACTAGATCGCGGGGTGTGCCTCCTACCTCCTCCTGGATCTAAATAGTCCAGTCGAGTCTTGTCTCTGTTCTCCGTCTGGGTCTTTTGAGCATTGACATGTTCGGTTTTCAACTTTAACATGCTGTCAAGTTCACACTTGTCATCAAGTGTGATGCATTTCAAGTAAGGTAAAATCCTCAGCATCACAATACTTAATGTTTGCAGTGCTGCAAGAGCACCCACTTCAATACTTTATGACAATAAACCCCCTGGATTTTGTTTATATAGTTCCAATCTCTACATCACTATGTCTCTGGGGTCTAGGTGACAGGAGTCCCTAAGGCAAGGAGCCAGAGTAATGGGAAAATCACGTGTTTTCACATGGCAGATGGAAATGGACTAGATCAAAGCCAGAACTGGGTGAGTTCTGGGTTATAGTACAGTTTTTTATTGGACCAGTTCCAATAACAGGGATAGGCCCTAAAATCACTGGCATCTAAGGCAATGAAGTGGTTCAGTAATGCCAGTTCTGGGGCAGAATCATTATGTAATCATTATATGATTATGTGCTGTGTGGTTTTGTTATGTGCTGTATAGTTTATTAACAATTAACAATTTAAAAAGTTACTCCAGTGATACTCATATTTATAATCAATAATGGACAGAAAGACACATTTAAAATAATTTCTTACTTTATTGAAAAGACATATATTTGTTTATGTTTGTTCTTACTATATTAGTTCCAGATTTATAACATATTGATTACACATTCTAGTACGTAGCAGAATTCATTGATAAAATCAATATAAAATGGAATGGATCAATATACTGTACAGTACACTGGAAAAGAAAGTGTGATACCCAGAAAAACAAAAGCATTCACCTTCATATGTAAATCATAAAAAATCATAAAAATAATAGTTGGGGTGTTGAATTCAAATACAAATACACCATTAAGTATCTAAATGAACCGAGACAATTTGCTGCCTGAATGTATATTAAACTAAAGTGAAATGTTTACAGAGTTACAATACATTCTTCTAAAATAATGGATATACAGTATCTAGGTTTGATACCAAGCAACTTCTGTCATTTGTGCTGATTACAAAATACAGACAACTTCTGGAATTAAGTTATTTGAAGCAGGTTGAACTTTATATTCAATGCACAACACACCTGCGGTCAACAGAGAAGCTAAGCAACCACAATAAACTAGAGAAAGCAATTATCAAGTGTAAAAGTTGGCTTTGAACAAAATTATTCATTGTATTATTTTTTTTTTCAATAAATGGATCTCTGTCCCTTCACAGTTCAAAGGGACTTACCTCGGTCGTACACAATCCTGGCCCCAGGGAGTCCCAAGGCAGTAGGATTTATGAATAACCACTGAATCATCAATGAAAGACTTGGAAAAAAAGTATTATGAACAATTGCAGTCTATTTCTAAGTTAGAGATTAGGTGGAACAAAAATCAGAATACTACAATATACAGCATGTACAGACCAGAGTCTACAATCACTGTAATTGAATACATTAATTGTTTTATTGATTGGTTAATCCATTGCCCAGGACCAGAGTTGGAGACTTCTGTTAGGATTTATTTTGCATGCAGGAAAAGAAAATCAGAAAAGCACCAAACCTAGTTACACCTATATTTCTACATAACACAACAAAAGCAGTGGGTCTTTGGCACAACAGGCCAGTTTGGCAGTTAGTAGCTATGTTACCCAGTATATCATTCAACTATTTCTTAAAAGAATGCCTTTGAGGATTTTGAATACTTCAGTCAGGTTCCCCCCCTCTTCTCTGTTCAAGAAGAAGAAGGTTCAGTTTTTCTAGGCTGTCAGTTTTGGACATTCCTTTATGCCTGGGAATTAATCTTGTTGCTCTTCAGTGGACCAATTATAGAGCAGCAATATGTTTTTTATATTTACTATACTATACCAAAAAACTGTCAAACACGACCTGTTTAATTGGGGTAATACCCATTCTTCCACATATTATCCTTCCGTCATGACATGCCAGTGCCAATCCCAGTAGCATAGGGTGCAAGTCCTGTTGTTACAACTGCTATACTGCTATATTGATTCTGAAATTTGGAAAGGTACTTTCTTGTGATTAAAAAAATATTTTCATTGTAGTGGGGTGAATTGTGTCACACAATATTAATATCCACAAGTCACTACTGTAAAATTACAATTTTGTTGTTGTTGTTGTTGTTGTTTCCGTTTGCTGTTCCACTGTCTCACTCATGTTTTAGATTTTGATGTAAAGTGATAACATACTGATCGATACACTCTAAGGTTAAGGTATTTGGACTTGAGGTAATTTCGTTTTCCAAAGAGTTGCTAAAAGTAATGATGGATAGATGCCGCACACGATCGCCATCTAGTGGCTATTGTACGTAGACGCGCTGTGGAATACTGACCGTCTTTGATTTTCAGCACAAATGAAACGAGAGATAAGCGACGTTTGATTATAATAGAGATCTCCCGTTTTCGTATACAATTCACCATCCCCTAGAAATTTGTATTCTCCCTCCTACCCCGCCTCGGAATGCGCACAATCCGTTATCTCAGGGAAGTAAGATAACGCATATAAAATAATTTATATGGAACACAAGAACAAAAGATGTACACAGCATTTGTGTGCTGTCTTGAGTTAAATGACTTAAGCTTCCATTCATATGGTGGCTGTAACTTTAATATGAATTCCTACAGAACGCCTTAAATACTCTGAGAAAACCAGTATAAACGCACAAAAACGACGGGGTCCTTTTGATCTATATTGTAATGAACAGAGACTCAAACATGCACGCAGGAGCAGTCTGTATCATTAAGTATCTTGGAAAGTTTTTTTTCTGTGGTCTGCGTACGCATTACGGTGGGGGATACAGATTTCCAGGGATACTGAATTGGATACGACTCCGAAATCAGTCCAGGGATCCAGGAGCTGTGAGCAGCTACGCCACCATGCCACCTTGTAAAGATATGAAAAATACCTTTTAGTAATGCTCTTTTGTATGATTCTATCAGAACGCATACAGAATCCCATTATAATCAAACAAAGAATTTAGGCATTTAGTAAATAACATCACTGTGCTTTTAGCATCCCAGGACACCGCTCATTTGTCGACTAAACGTGATCTGTTCTTTCTGTATTTTAAAAATAATTATTCAGTTCAACTTTGAGTAATTAAACAAGTTAAGATATGATCTGTAATTATTGTTGTCGTTTATCTAATTTGATGCCAATTTATATAAACAGTAAATATCTCATATGGGTTTTGTCCTTTAAACATGAATTATAAAATATAAATTTATTTCCTGAAGATACATTGTACTGTTGTATAATCTAGTACTGTACTTCAAACGGTGCACAGTGGTGTGGGCAACAGCAATAAAAATAATGAGCAGGTGTTTAAACGTTTTATTACACAATACTTTTAGTTGTGTTTATTATTATTATTGGTGCCAGTATCACTGTCTCACCCTGCAACTCACAACTGGCAACCCACTGAAGTTAAGCAGGTGTGAGCCTGGTCAGTACCTGGATGGGAGACCTCCTGGGAAAAACTAAGGTTGCTGCTGGAAGAGGTGTTAGTGGGGCCAGCAGGGGGCGCTCACCCTGCGGTCCATGTGAGTCCTAATGCCCCAGTATAGTGACGGGGACACTATACCGTAAACAGGTGCCGTCCTTTGGATGAGATGTAAAACCGAGGTCCTGACTCTCTGTGGTCATTAAAAATCCCAGGGCGTTTCTCGAAAAGAGTAGGGGTGTAACCCCGGCATCCTGGCCAAACTTCCCCATTGGCCCTTATCAATCATGGCCTCCTAATAATCCCCATCTATGAACTGGCTACATTACTCTAATCTCTGGTGCACTATGGCTGCTGTCGCATCATCCAGCTGGATGCTGCACATTGGTGGTAGTGGAGGGGAGTCCCCATTACCTGTAAAGCGCTTTGAGTGGAGTGTCCAGAAAAGCACTATATAAGTGTAAGCAATTATTATTATTATTTTTCATTATATCACAGAGAGGGTCGTGTCCTGGGCTACATGTTCTTAACTCTAATTTCCATGTTAATTGCTCTTATTTATTTGCACTTACTGTATGTAGTTTAATTTGCTGTGCTTTGTCTCGATGACGCTTTTGTTAAAGCAAGAACACACCACAGCTGACAAGTGAAGTTCTAAAAAAATTTTTTTTTTACTCTTTGAAAATTAGGAAAATAGTTTTGTTGTTTCCGGTTTTGACAACCAGGTGGGCCACTTAACACTCACACTTCCTGAATCCCTTCTTGGTTCGCAGTGTGGAAAAATGCTACGCCTTTTTTTTCCAAAACCGTACTGCAGCTATTTTTAAGCTGTTGGACTTCAACATGAATTAGCAATACAGTTAAAACATCACTAAGCACGCATGAACGGGGGGAAAGGGCATTTGAGAAACCAGTAGGCTGCAGTCCAAACCAATCTCATTTAGTAAAATAACAAAATCATCGTTTTTGTTAACATTGTGTTTTAAGGGTCTACCTGTTTGTTTTGACCTGCAGAAGACTGACCATTTTTTGCTCATTAGTGGTAGTTTCAAAAGAAGACACAGCACGCTTTCTGTGCACACAGTAATTTAAGAATAGGCCTATTAGAATTAAGACGATTGCTGCAGTCGCCGCACCCACAGCGGTTCCCAGAATAATATTGGGGCTGAAGGGTTTGCGATCACATTCTCTAGTAGGGGAAAAGAATCCCCTCTCACAGTAGCACACATTTAACCCATCAATATGTGTACACTTACTACAGTCGAAGTTTTTTTCACATGTATCATGAATAATACAATTTTCTTCTTCTAAAACAAATCCCTTGGGACATGTGGACGCGCTTGGGTCATTAATGTCATGTATTGGTGGGCATGAATTTGTACAAGCCCTGAGGCAGAGTTGTGGCTTTTCAGGGTCTGGAAGGAACCCCGAGGAACAGGAACATTTGTAGCCGTCATTTGTGTCGGAACAGATATGCTCACATGGCGCACTAGAGCAGGAGCGTATAACATGTTTAGTAGTACTTTCAGGAATACTTCCAGTAATACTTAAATTAGTCTCTAGGTTGTTCTCACATCTAAGATTATACTCACAAACTGAATCTTTGCAGGTGAAGTTTTTGCATCTTACTTTATTCTCCTCAAGTTTCATGTATGGTGGGCAGGTGCACTGTGGTTTCCCGTTGCACATCTCGCACTGATGTTCACAGCCACCTTTTTCAATCTCGCAATTCCACGGGCCCTGGATCCAGTCCACAGTGTCGTTGTCCACACAATAGATCTTCATTCCAGAGGGTTCCAGTGTCAGGATGCTTCCTGGAGGGACCAAGATGAGATCACTTCCCTGCAATCCTAAAGGAGTTCTGTACAAAAGAGTTTGGGAATCGACTTGCCCTTTAGAAATATTGCACATTTTACTAAACCTGTACTCGCACAGAAAGCCATCCGCCTGATCTTGACAAGGCCTTTCTTTCCACGTCAGGTCGCCTGAAACGGAGACACACTGCTGAGAGCAAACAGAGTCCGGTTCTTTCGATCTGGTAAAGTTAGTACTTTCATTTCCTGTTGCCCAACCGGGCAAAACTGCGTTTTGAGGGCACCGTTCATCGGAACTTCGCAGCCCAACCCAGAAATGTCCTTTTAAATTAGACAACAAGACCGAGATCGAATAGTTATATTCCTTAGATTGATGCGACAGCGATTGTTCGTAGTGAATTGTGATTGTTTTCTGTGCAACATCAAAATTCGCCGAGCTTTGAGTTACGGTGTAACAGACGTTGTCTTTGCACAGGCAGCCTGTCGTGGACTGCGATGGTCTATGTGATATCAGGAGAAAAACAAAAGCTGCTGCAAAGCTCATTGCCATTCTCCGTTTAATCAGCATGAACAATACTAAGAGAAGTGTTTCAGGTCGAAGTGGTGGTTCCTAGCTTTATATAAACTATCCAATCCTTGTAAACCATTCAGATTGCTGAAGGGAAGTGAATCGTGTCGTTTCCTATTTTTCTAAAGTCGCACGCCTACAGAAAATTACTTTGTAAACGGACAGTCTTGTCTCAAAAGAGATACATGGAGCTGTAATGCAATCATTTTTAAAATAATTTTAAGACTTTGTAAGATTTCCTGAAAAGACGTACATTTCTCTTTATTATTAAAGACAAGCATTATTAGGTTCTCATACAAAAGTGTTTTAAAAACGGAAATATTAGTAAATGTAAGATTCCCTATGTTTTTCACTTTCATTGACTGTAGTTTTTCATTGTTATCCTCAAAACTGTTACTTAAGTTTGTTTAGTAAAGCTCTCTGTAATATCGTTTACTGAATGACAGTAAACAAGACTGTCATTAAACAAAAAAAAATGTTATGGACAGCAATTGACAGCAGTATACTCTTATCCAGAATGTCATAATGCTTACGAGCGGTCATGATGCCGTTTTCCATGAGTGTCCCTAGCTAACATCATGAAATGCATTCATACAAAAACTGTTATCACCTCATAGGTAAGCATTATCAAAGGGAGCAATTTTTAATAAATTTTTTTCTTCGTTAAGTCCTGGACTTGTACTTCTCACATTTGGTGGTTTAACTGTGTTTGTCTTGCGCCCAATTCATTACCAATTGATTGATCTTTCTTTCCTGATCAATACTCCGCATTGACTCTATGAAAGATGCTGTAAAATCCCATGGATGGTAATACGTTATTCATTCACTCACTGACCTCCTATATTTAAATAATGTTAGGGGATTTGGCTAAGTGCGGAACGCAAGCAAAAACTGGACAGATTTTATTATTTTAAAAGAATAACTCTTCTTGTCTATTTTTATATTTTTCGACAGTGTTTACTTAAAAAACAACGTTTGCAGACCACAATGCTAAGAAACTATATAGGTATCCTTATTAAGACAGGTTTAATCTCAATATAATAACAAATATTATGAACCGTTTCCAACTTTAAAAAGTTAATTCCCCAAATCAGTATCTCTGTAACTTGATAGGTAACCAGGTGGTCATGAAAACAGCAGTTCTCCTTTAGTACAATTACAGAGGAAAGAAATAACTCAGTTTAATATACTGTAGCGCCCTTGCCCGATGGTGAGGAGAAAGCTCACCTAGGCACTCAAGGTACTGCGAAGCAGGCTGAGAGTTGTAACCGGGGGGAGTTTGGGGGTCAGCACGATGACCAACAGCTGACCCTGCTTATGTAAATAGATTTATGTTAGTTTAAGTATCCTGTGTAGCTTAGTAAATGTGTAGTCTTCTGTTACCACCCTAAACCTGCGTACGTGTTCCGTCGGTTCCCTTATGTGTGTGTAAAATCCTGTGGATGGTGGTGGGGTTTTGAAAGGGAGAATAAAAGCAGTCGCTTGGGAAATAGAGGGCATAGGACAGTATCATAAAAAGCTGTGAAAAACTATATCATGTTAAAGTAAAGAATGGGATTTGCACCGGAGCAAGATAAATTGTTGCTATGTAACTTTTACCGTGTCAAAACGTAATGAAATGTGATCATATATACTGTTTTAAGTATATTACTGCATATTAATGTAAAGCTTTCTATTTTGTGATTCCTTGTATTTAATTGTGAGGGAAAAAATAAAGTTCTTAAATCGGTTTCCTATCTCGTCTCCACTTGTCCTTTTTCCTGCGTGAACCTGTAAGAGCTACAATACATTGAAGTTTCAAGGACTTTGCCCCAGCATTTAAAATCGGTGCCCCAAAATCATTTAATCTTGTTAGGTGTCCTTAATTGAAATACAATAGTTTTGTCCTGGGGCACAATTCCACGAAAAAAGAAATTGCCCCTCAAGCTTTCCTCCCCTTGTCATTCATTTGTTTTGTGGCACTGATTTTGAATACCGTTAAAGTTAAGCCCTCAGAACTCTAATAGAGAATACAGCAAAGCAAAAATGGTGCTTTTTGGATAGCTTTTTTGGATACGTGACTATTCCTTTGTCCCGGCATTGTGCCCACGGGAAAAAAAAAAAAAAACTATTGTATTAGAATAACACGTACCTGTAAATATCAGGAAAAAGTGAAATGATCTAGGGAAACTTGTTTTAAGTACTGGGGCAAAGGCCACCGGACTTTAATTCCTGTTTGGAACAATGTCATTTTCTTTCCGTGGAGTTATGCAGCGGGACAAAAGCTACCTGCCAAGGTATAACGAAAACGTGAGAATACTTTTATAGGAGTGGGGAAAGGTTCATAATATTTCTTTTGGGAGAGTACTGATATACTTTGTTTTGGAAACTCTATAGCATTCTAACATAAAAACAGAGTGTTATTTAAGAATAGATTAAAATCCGTTCAGCGTTCCCCCGTCCGGCCCTCCGGGGTTTAACTTTTTTTTTCTCTGCTGTTAGCGCAGATCTACGTTCGGATTTGAATGAACTGTCTGTAACACGTTATGCATTTACTTAAAGTGCATATCATTTCCTTCAACCCTGGTAAATGACTGAAATCAGGACGTGGTGGTTCCTATCTTCATATACTGTAAACTGTCCAATTCTCCTTGTCAACAAGATAGCCAAAGGGAAGTGAACTGTTGTTTCCTATTTTTCAGAAGTGAAAAGATTTATTGTAATTAATTACTTAGCTGGTGAATTACTGTGTCCGATATTTTAAAAACTGAGAGAGGAAAAGCTTTTTTTTATAATCCATGCTTTAAACATATAGTTTTATTAAAAAGTTTTGGCACCCCTGACCAAATTACGTTTTAATAAATTCTGACTCTTCGAACCTCTCAGGGTGGGTTGCTTACACTTAACAACCATGGGCTTGGTTGTTGAGTGTAATCCTTCAGATGAGACATAAAACCGAGGTCCTGAATCTCTGTGGTCATTACAAATCCAAGGGTGATTCTCGAAAAGAGCAGGGATGTAACCCCGGCGTCCTGGCCAAAGTTTCCATTGGCCTTTACCAGTCATGGCCTCCTAATAATCACCATCTATGAATTGGCTTCATTACTCTGCTCTCCTCCCCACTGATAGCTGATGTGTGGTGAGTGTTCTGGTGCACTGTGGATGCTGCACATTGGTGGTGGTGGTGGAGGGGAGTCCCCATTGCCTGTAAAGCACTTTGAGTGGAGTGTCCAGAAAAGCGCTATATAAGTGTAAGCAATTAATATTATTATTATGGGCTCCTCTAAGCAGCTGACTGAAGATCAGAAAATAAAGATAATTGACTCTTACAAAGCGGGGGAAGGCTATAAAAAGATATCTAAACGCTTCATGCTTGCAATTTCCACTGTCCGAAATGTCATTAGGAAATAGAAGTTAACGGGAACTGTTGAACTCAAGACAAGATCTGGAAAACCAAGAAAAATGTCTGATAGAACTGCTTGTAGACTGGTCAGGAATGCAAAGCAAAACCACCATATCACTGCAAAGGAAGGTTTAGCTGGCACTGGAGTAGTGGTGCACCAGTCCACTGTGCAGCATTTCTTGCACAAACATGAGCTGCATGGAAGATTCATCAGAAGGAAACCTTACCTGTGCTCTCATCACAAAAGTCAGCGTCTGAAGTATGCAACACAACACTTAGATAAGCCAGAGGTGTTTTGGAACCAAGTGTTGTGGTTTGATGAAGCAAAAATTGCCAACTGTTAAGCATGTGGGTGGATCTATTATGCTTTGGGGTTGTGTGGCAGCCAGTGGCACAGCAAATATTGTGTGGGTAGAGGGAAGAATGGATTCTACTATCAACAAACCCTGGAAGCTAATGTCCCATAGTCAGTGAAAAAACTGAAGCTGAAAAGAGGTTAGATATTACAAGAAGACAATGATCCAAAACATACCTCAAAATCAACCATTGCCAGAAGACCTAAGAATATTTCTGAACAAGAAGCGTTCTGCAAGGAAGAGTGGGAAAAAATTCCTAAAGCAAGAATAGAAAGACTGTTAGCTGGCTACAAGAAACGTTTGGAGGCTGTGATTTCTGCCAAAGGGGGTGTTATTAAGTCCTGACTGACTGCACGTGCTACATTTACTATTTTGTTTTTTTCAATCTCTTAAATTCAGCAAATAAATAGTAATTGTGCATTAAAATGTTCAGAAATATGTCAAGTTCAAGTGTGTTCGCTGCAGCGGTTGTGTTAACTTCTTTTCACTTAGAAAATCAACAAAACATGTATTTTGGCCAGGGCTGCCCAAACATTTGCATGGAACTGTATGCCGTTTACTAATCACAGACGCCTCTTAATGAAAAGAAGACAATAGACACTTAGTGAAGCCACCAGGGGGCGATGAACGATGGTTACAACAAACATTCTGTACTGTATAGTACAGGAGTAGAGAAGCTGCAAGAAACGTTATTAAGTTCAGCGATAAAGTACATATTGTGTAATTCCGTGACAAAGTAATTACTGTAAGCGATCCACACATTTTAAAAGTGGCCTAGCCAATAAAATGTACAAAGAACCTTACTATAAGTTGCCCAGAAACAGTGAGAGAAGAAAGTAAAGATTTTTTATCAGTCATAAGCACCAGAGTTTAAGAAACGTTTTAGGAATACATTGTACAAATGGGCTGAAATGGGTTTCTTATGTAACGCTATTACACAAGTTTAAAGGGAATGCAAAAACATGTTGATGCTGTAGTCTACCAGAAATACTGTAGGACATCCTAACAATTCAAGAAAGTGTTAGGTAGGCATCTTTAATCGCACACCTGAAGAAGGCTCCATGGCCAAAACATTGTGTTTTCTTTCTTCACTTTTCAGCCTGGAAAAAAAATATTACTTGTTCCTTTGCAGCCTACGCACGCTGACACAGCTACCCACCTGAACATCTTTAATCAACTCTGTCTATTTAAAAAAATACTACCAGGTAAATGGATAAGACAAGACTGCAAAGTAGAGCATCAGAGGAAAGAGACAGAAGAGTTCCATTTATGTAATTGTCTACACTATATTATTTAATTTCATTTAATAATTACTAGTTATTCTCTATTCTCATGCATGATGCTATAGTGTCTTGTTAAAGAGCATAGGTGACCTATTTGGACAAATTAAAGTAAACATGACAGTGAGACCAA